ATTTAAAGTGATTTTTCTAAAAAAAGATTTATTTATGCGTACAGAACTGGGGTACAAGCCAGAGGTACAGGGGTGGTGAGAGGATTCACCAGAGAGAGAGCAGGAAGCAAACAGGCAGATCAACGAAGTACACTGCTGAGGGGAGCAGCTAGCGGGTCAGGAGAGGTCTGGACGCCATATGGGTCACCTCCAGAGGGGATTTAACTCACCCGGAAGTGGCTGCAGCTAGCTTGCAGTGCTGCGCTCTAACTCCTTGCATCACCAGGGAGGGCCCTGCTTTTTATTTTTAAAGGGGGTTCTCCCTGTATATACATCATTTTATGATCAGGAATTAGAACAGTTTATACTTAGCTTTTATGATTTCCTGTCATTCTTCGTTACAATTTCATATCTTTTCCAGTCAGATCTCTGGCCCCTTGAGCAGTCAGGTTTCAGTTTTGTTGCCTTGGTCATAAATTTAGACAGGGTCCTCAGGTCAGATTGTTACAATCTCACAATTGTTCTCTTCTTTTTGCAGTTTTTGGAGTAAACTCTCCACGTTCTGTTTTTATATATGTTACTGTGCCTTTATTTACTGATTAAAAAAAAATCCATTTCTTTCTTGTCCACGGTCAATTTTTTATTAATTTTTTATGGCTGTAGACTTACATATTGACATTATAAGTTTCAGGTGTGCATCATTAAACTTGATAAAAGGGGTTCGCTGCATGAAGGATCACATCCGATTTTCAGGGGTGAACTCAATGACATATATTTGTAAGTTGATTTTTAATAATATTCATGTTAAAATTATTTGTGAAAGAATTTTCACATTCCATTGCCACATTAATACTTCTCTAAATGTATTTTGATTCACATCTCTGTCGTCATTGATGGCTAATTATCTTTTCATATTTTAAGTCTATTCTTACATCTTTTGCCTATTTTTCTCCCTCATTTAAAAATTGTTCTATATTTTACAAATATCAACCTTTTATAGGATATAATACAAGTACATTTTCCTAGATTATCACATTTCTTGACTTATGATGTTTTTGGTAATTCACTTTTCAAAAATAAACTTTTATGTAGTCAAGCTGAACATTCTTTTATTAATCTGGATTTTGAGTCACTTAGGAACTTTTCTACATCCATTTTATTCACTCATGTTTTCATGTATTTGTGGTTTTCATTTTATATTTAAGATGAGTCATTTGGAGCTTATTTTTCTATATGGTATGAGACAGAGAAGTAATTTCATTATTTTTCAACTACTGTTAGTCATCCTAGCATCAATTATTTAAAAAAATCTAATGCTATGAGCTGCCATTTCAGAACATACTAAATATCTACATATGTTTTGCTCTGTGTTTAGACTCTATTCTCCACCATTAGTCTTATGCCAGTACCACATTATTTTAAACACAAAGATGTTAGTGTTTTATGTTTTTCATAAATTCCTCTTCATGACTTTTCTTTTTCAGTAATTTCTAGTTACGCTCACATTTGTTTTCACATATGAACTTTATTATAAACTTTTCAAGCCTCATGAAGTATTTGGCTATTTTTACTGGGATTATGTTACATTAATAAAAGAAATCGGGGAGAACTAACAAGTTCATTGTTATGCATTCATATCTAAATGCAAGATGTTTAAGTCTACTTTGGAGTTAGGAGTGTTTTAAAAATTTTCTTACTGTTTTTGCACATTTCCTGTTAAGTTTATTGTAGGTACAGGTGATCCTCAGTATTGGTGGATTCTGTATTTGCAGATTTACATATTCACTAAGATTTATTTGTAACACCAAAATCACTACTCAAAGCAGTAGTTTAAGATTTGCATGTTTACTCAGATTTTCAGTCATCTGATTGCCCTCGCCTGAAGTCCCCTTCTATAAAAATGTTTCTTTTTCATAGCATAGTGACCATAGCATAGTGTCGTATCCTCCACATTTTTGTGTTTACTACTGGTGATCACACTGTTTGCAATGACCCTGAGTGTAGTGTTGACATGCTCTCTCGTATTCCTGAATGCAAGGCGGCTTCCTTTCTTGCCAATAAAAGGTATGTTAGAGAAGCTTCATCCAGGATGAGTTAAACTGCCCTTGGCCATTCTATGTTAATGCAGCAGCAATACACACATCAAAAAGAAACACACAGAAACTAAGTTTATGTTTTGGCTGGTTGGCTGGTAACAATGACATAACCTGAGGCTTGCAGGAAACTAAGCCTGTATTTACTCAGTGCAATAAGTCAGTATTTGACAACTTCAGTGTTAGTTGTAGAACTAATGAGAATTGACTGTATTATATTTGTTGCTATTGTAACATCTTCTTACTGATCACTATTTATGTATATGAAGACTATTGATTTCAGTATATAAATTTCTTTCCTGCCACCTCACTGAATTCTTTTTACTATTTGAGTTAGTGTTATATTGATTCTCTCTCATTTTCCAGGTAGACTCTTGTCAAGTGCAAATATGATTTACTTCTTTTCCAATTCTATATTCCCCCAAATAAATTCTCTGTATAAGTATGTTGGCTACAACTTTACTCTTCTCTTTTTTTTTTTTTTTAAAGATTTTTTTATTTGTGCATACAGAACTGGGGTACAGGCCAGAGGCTTAGGGGCGGCGAGAGGCTTCACCAGAGACAGAGTGGGGAGCAGAACAGGCAGATCGACGAAGTACACTGCTGAGGGGAGCAGCGGGCGGGTCAGGAGAGGTCTGCCGCGCCATGTGGTCACCTCCGGGGCAGGCGGGAATCGAACTCATGCGGAAGCGGCTTTAGATTCTCAGTGCTGTGCTTTAACCCGCTGCGCCACCACGGAGGGCCTACTCTTCTCTTTTTAATAAGGACAGTCAATCATGTATGTGGAACTGCTGACTTGGTAATGGATTACATCACTGATCCAGGTTCCTGGGCTTGAAAATGAACTTGAAGTGTGGATCTTTTTAAAAAATCACTCAAATAATCATTCAGTCTCTTGAATATCTGTTCTTTTCCATCTGGTAAGAGCACATCTCTCAGAGTCTTACCCTCTAATAGTTCTTGTGTAGCTGTCAATCAACATCCTGATTCCCCACCTCTGGTATATAAGCCAGGTCAATTATATAGGTTGGTCATAAAGTCTGAATACCTAGCTATGAATTTCTGGGTATAGTTTCCTGGTTGTAGCAGTGGGTCAGGAGAAGCCAGGCAGAGTGTGGCCTCCCTGCTCCCTTTGCCCTTCATGGGTGAGTCATCCCCCAGTTAGGAGTAGTGTCCTCAGAGTCAAGTGCTGATCAGGACAGCTGAGGCGCAGGGGCTTCTCTGCAGACCCAAAGTAGTTCTCTGGGTCACTGCCTCCTCTCATCTGTCTGTCTTATGGACTCTGGCTACCATGGGGCTCTCAGAACCCTAGTTCCTTCTCCTACATTCATAGAGGTGGCCACACTCTGCCTGGCTTCTCCTGACCCACTGCTACAGCCAGGAAACTATACCCAGAAAATAAACTGGGCATTCAAAGGTCTCATCTCATTTGTTTCTCTCTCTTTCATTGCCTAAGTCCAATGTTCTGGAAACTGGTTACATACATTTTTGTCAGGTGCTTTGTTTGATTCAAATGGGGAGGGCTTGGAGGTGAAACCCGGTTTCTGTAATTCCATAATGGCAGGAAGTAGAAATACACAACTCTTTCCAGCATATTGAAGTGAGCATATTAGTGATGGACAACACTTGAACATAACCTCTAAAGCACTGAGCACATCACAGATTGTAATGTAATATCAACACACTATTATTATGGCTTTTGTCCTGTAGTTTGTCCTGTAGTTCTTCATCCCTGTATGCTCTTCAAAATCAGACAATGATTGGCTCAAAAACAGTAGAGATGGAGAAAGGTAGAGCCAAGAAAATAACTACCCTCCAAATAGCTATAGCATTTCTCTAGAGCACGGGATATCATCAGCATTCAATGCGCTGCTTGGAGAGCTGCACAAATGCATGCAGACTTACCTGAATGCACACCTGCATGAATGATGACTGCGACAGAATGAAGGTTAATTTTGGTATTATACCAGTTCTCTATTGAGCAGACCACACCCCGGTGAATACTGTAGGATCTTTCTTCACAGGAGAAATCTGTGGGCTCTGGGAGACAGCAAGCCTCCCCCTGTCCCCACCGTTTCTACCTTTCTTCTGGATTATTTCTTTCCTGCATTACTAGCTTTAGCCTGATGCTGAGCTATACCCCCTTTCCCCACATATTTTTAGAAATAGATTCCTCCTCTCCTTATTGTGCCTTACCCCTGGTGACTCTCTAGCTTTTAGAATGTAAATATCTCTTTCAGTTAGTTTGCAAAAGTTTATAGAGTGTCAGAATGTTTATCTTTTCTATTTGTAAAAAGAGCTCAGTATTTTTCTTATTAATATTCTGTATATTGTTATTATCTAGTTCTGGGGATATTACTGACTACAAAAGAGAATCTGGGGGAGCTATTTCATTTTTGAAATTAGTGAAGCTAATTTCACTAAGAAATCAATAAACAGACATGCTTCTATACGTCATTGTTCAACGGTGTTCAAAGAAAGTAGAAACAAAGAACCCAGTAGTCTTGAAATGTTTCCAAGGTAAGGGTTTTTATTCTGGTTCCGTGCTCAATTAGAGGTACCTACAACAGACTATAGACAAAAATAATTAGGTAGGGCTCAAGAAAAATGAGCAGAAGACAATAAAATTATAAATGTCCAATCTTGCAGCTATCAGGACAAAGAAATAAAACCCCAACTTCATATGAAATAATCATTTAAAAACAAGACTGCTTGGATTATAACTACCCTGACTTCCAAAAAAAAAATCCCCAAAATCTTACAATATTAATTTGTCAGGTTAAACTTCTGGGTATGAAAAGTTTTACCAGAAAAGTTGAGTACAATTTTGTGAGGACAGAAAATCATAGCATGATCAGAATGCTTTGATAACCAGAGAAAGCCAGAACCATGTTTCAACAAGTAGAGATCCAGAAGGATAGCCAGGAAGTCTACCTGCTTTTTACAAACAGCGAAGATGTGGGTGGGATGAAGGTAACCTTACCTCAGCAGAGGGGCCAGTCCACAGCGTCGAGTGGCCGAGGTCTGGTCAGCCCTGGAGGAATGTGGGCTCTCTTAGATATAGTTGCCACTAGACTGCTTTAAGCGTTCTCATCGATCGTCCTCAATCCTTTGCTGTTGTGGGTGACTCTATAAGGGCAGGGCGGGGCTGCTGGAGGTGGAGTTATGGCAGCGATGTCAAGTCTGGCCCACTCCTGTAACCCCGGCTGAGGATCTTCTCTGAGGAAGTGGATATCAGTATTATTTAAGGGTGTTAGAGTTCCTGCTGTACTGGGATCTAAACTGGCCTGGAAACTTGGGAGTAAGCTCATGTGCACTATTCTTGAGAGATATTTCAGGGGGTTCGAGAGATAAGTTATGTTGTCCCCTCCCCACCTTATACTTGGTGTGTCTCTTGGTGTAGGACTGTTGGGACCTATTGTCATGGGAAGGACCGTCCGAGTCTGAGGACAACCTCTCTTGGAGAGGTATCCTCTTGGCAGATTTCTTTTTCTTTCTTCTATGGTTCTCTTCTTTCGGCTCTCGTAAATCCCCTGTGTCACCTTCCTTGAGTGGACATATTAGGAAAGTTGAGTCCTTTTTATCTGTGTCCCCCCTAGAGAGAGAGAGAGAAAAGAGGGGTTTTTTTTTAACCTGATAGCTGCTACCTCCTATATCTAAGCTACTTCCATGGGTTTTTCTCATTTTGTCTATCGTCTGCTTTCTCATATAATGGAATCTCAGGGGTCTTGTGAGCCCTTATAGATTGGGTGGGTTTTATTCCACTGACTTTATTTCCATAGGTCTATGGTACCTAAGAGTCTCACATGGCAACAAGAATCTAACCATTTTGGCACTGTCTTGACCAAGTTGGACTCAGCATTAACTCCAGTTCACCCAGGATGATTAACTTGGGTATGTTACAGCCTAATTCATTACTGAGGTGCTGAGCTTGAGCTTGTATAGTAAAGTCTCTTCTATACCTTTGTGTTTCTCTAATTACTAGAAGATGTACCAGCAGAAAAATGTCTCCAATCAAAAATATGTATGATTTTAAATTATTTTTTTAAGATTTATTTGTGTATACAGAACTGCGGTATAGGCCAGAGATGCGGAGGGTGAGAGGCTACCAGAGACAGAGGGGGGAGCAGAACAGGCAGAGCAAAGAAGTACACTGCTGAAGGGAGCAGCTGGTGGGTCAGGAGAGGTCTGCCACGCCATGTGGTCACCTCCAAGACAGACAGGGATAGAACTCATGTGGAAGTGGCTTTCGCTTCTTAGTGGTATACTTTAACCCGTTGTGCCACCAGGGAGGGCCTAATTTTAAATTACTTTTAATTGACAAAACTTAAGTAGTCATGGAGCTTGAGTTAACTACTAAGAAAATACACTGAACACAGTCAACAATATTTGACAATGGAGTCAAGAGTACGCAAGGGGGAAAGTAAAGCTTTTTCAATAAATGGCATTAGGAATACTAGATACCCACTTGTAAAAAATAGAGTTATATCCTTATCTTTCACAACTTACAGAAATTAACTTGAAATGAACTAAAGTCTTAAATGTAAGAATTGTAGCTATAAAACTTCGAGAAAACACATACAGGAAAAAAAATCCAAACATGGTGGTAATGTTTTTTTGTGATTGGACACCAAAAGCACAGAACAAAGACAAAAAACAGTGGGATTGCATCAAACTAAAAACATCTTCACAGTAAAGGAAATGATCAAAAATAAAGAGGAAAGGGTGAGCGAACTAGTCACATCCATTTTTCACCAAGGGGTTAATTACCAAAATATATAAGGGACTCGCACAACAATAGTGAAAGGACTAATATTAAACAGTGAACAGATGACCTCGATAGACATTCCGAAGACTACAAAGGCCAAAAGGTACATGAAAAGATGCTCAGTGACAATAATCACAGAAAATGCAACACTTCACAGTTGTTAGAACAGCTATTATCAAAAAGACAAGAAATAGCAAGTATTGATGAGGATGTGGAGGAAAGAGAACACTATTGCAATATTGGTGGGGATATAAATTGACAGTCACTATGGGAAATATCAATAGCATGAAGAATCTTCAGAAAAATGAAAAAATAGCACTAGTATATGATCTGGGTATATATATATATATATATATATATATATATATATATATACACACACACACACACACACACACACACACACACCAAGGCAAAATAAAATTACTATTTGAACAGATATCTGCACCCCTGTGTTCATTGCATTAATCATAATAGTTTTGACATGGAAACAACCTAAATATCCATCAAGGCTAAACAGATAAAGGAAAAGGTAAAGAAAATGAGCATTACATTACATATGCGCACACACACACACACACACGCACAGAGGAAGTAGTATTATTTAGCTGTAAGAAAGCAGGAAGTTCTGACATTTGTGACAACATAGATGGACCCTGAGAGTATTAAGTAAAAGAAGTCATATAGAATCACATCGAGGAAAGCAAACATTGTATAATATCATATATGAAATCTAAAAAAATCAAACATAGAGAGTAGTAAATGGTAGTTGCTAGGTATTGAGGGGTGGGTGAGTTGGGAAAATATTAGCCAAGGGGTACAAAACTACAAATATTTGGACAGTTTATTTATCCAGATGTGCTGCCCTTCAAAGCAAGCATCTGGAAACTCCATGACCTCACTCCAGTCATACCATTGCCAAATACCCTTTTGGGAACTTGCTTTTTCAGGGCCCCAAGGTTAAGTTAAGGACACCACCTACCTCATGCTAAATCTTATTTTGTCCCAATCATCAGAATCTGCCAACTTGATCACTCAGCCTTTACCAAATAACTTGGAAATTGTCAAGAACAAAAAGAGTGGGAAAATATTTTTTATTATCTCTAAATCAAATCAAATCAAATCAAGATTCACACGTTCTAAGTTTCAATGATAGTCTTAAAGACTCTCTGGAAGTAATTCCTGACAGAGATGAAGAAATTGGCCCAACCAGTTCACACCCTCCAGGGTAGTTATTATAAGCAACAACGACGACGAAGTGGAAATGTAGACTGGTATAGTTGTCATGGAAAATAGCAGGGCAGCTCCTCAAAATATTAAAAATAGAATTATCATGTAATCCAGTGATTAATTAGTTCTGGGTATCTGCCCCCAAGAATGAAAGCAGGGTTTCAAACAGATATTGGTACATCTGTTTCATAGCTGCATTATTCACGATAGCCCAAAGGTGGAAGCAACCCAAGTGTCCACGAAACTGTAGTTCATGCAGAGAATGAAATACTATGTAACCTTAAAAGGGAGAAAATTCTGACACTTGCTATAACATGGATGAATCCTTAGGACATAAAGTAACCAAGGACAAACACATTATGATTCCACTTTTATGAGGCCCCTAAAATTGTCAGATTGATAAAAAACAAAGCAGAATGGGTTTTTTAAGGGCTGGGGGGTGAGGGGATGGAATATCAGTGTTCAGTGGGTACAGAGTTTCAGCTTGGGATGATGAAAAAAGGTCTAGAGAGGGTTGATGGTGATAAATTCACAACTTAGGAGGCTCCTGAGTTTTAACAGTTGAAGGCTCAGTAATGGGGAGACTGAGAAGAACAAACCACTCATGCTCAGGGTTAATGAACCTCTATGCCTCTGTGTTTTCTCTATGAGATACTACGGCAACAAAGCATGCTTTCTGAAAATAGACAGTGGAATTTGTCCCTCTGGACAGTATAGGACATGCAGTATAGGATTTATTGCTGAACTGCTAGCTTTTAAGGATTTTGCTCCAGAACGGGAAATGGGGCTCCTGATCTGATCAGAGGGAGCAAGAGAGCTAAAGCCATACAGAGGCCTAATGATGTCAGATGCACAGCAACTTCCTACGGGAAAGTAGTTCATTGTTGCTGGATGGGAATATAGGAAGTGATTTATCTAATGTAATGTCAGAGGCAGCACTGAATTTTGAAATTTCAATCAGACACATAATATTGCTGCTATCAGGGAGATAGCATGAGTGAGAGTTATGTGGAGTAAAGGAAAGTGTGTTTGAATAATATGGGCAGTATAATTTCAACCTTTGGACACACTCCCAAGTCCAAATGGTTTGATGAAAAATTACTAAACTCCTCAAGGAGAAATAATGAGAGGCTAAAGTTTTGTGTAGGGGAAATTAGAGGTTGTACACAGAATCAGACAAATGATGTATACATTCTGGGGAAGTATAGGGCTAAAGTGTCTGTCCTTGAGAGTCTGGGCTCTTTAGACTCACTCATAGCTGTATCTCCCAGGCCAAAAGCCCACAACCACTCATCAACGGAGGGTCACTTCTGGCCTTTGAGATCTCGGTGCCTACAACTTCCCTTCGGTGCCCCATGACTTCTGGAGCACAGAGAAAATGCCTACTTCAGTCTGACTTTCCTGAGCTTACACGTTGAACTTTGAAGGTTGCTAACTCTTTTCAAGAAATCAGACTCCCTCTAAAGTGAGTCACTTAAGGAGAAGCCCCACAGGTAACTTTTCCAACCTTTGCTCCATCAAGAGCAAAGTGAGGATGGATTCCAGTTCTGCTGGGGGTGGGGGATCTCCAGCCAGTTATAGGGAACCAGGTATATGGATTCAGCCTAGACATCAGGTCAGAAGCAGCACACAGTGGTGAGCATTTCCTTCCACTAGTTAGAACCAACAGTCAGAGTCTGGCTAACCAGAGATATTTCCCCATTGCAGTCAGAGGCCACAGCCTTCTGGACAGGACCCAGGAGAGGTAGTCAGGGAGGAGCTCAAGGAACTCAGTGAGTCCCTTGGAAAGAAGGATGGATGCCAAGTTGAGGAAACTCCTCCTGATCCTTGCAGTTATTAGATGATCACATAAAAGGAATAATATTTGTATTCCCTAAATGGAGGTCATGATAGACAGGTGAGAGAATATTTTTTCTCAGACATCCCTGGTGCCATGAAATGTAGAAACAAACTCAGGGACGTCATTGCAGGGAAGATAGCAACTATTTTCCTTCATCCAAGACACACCCTTAGAAGACACACAGCTCAACTGTGCAGCTGGAGAATGCAATCATCATGCTGTGAAGGAAATTGGTAATTGCCCGTTTGATGTCACAATATGGTAATACTAAAATTCTCTCTTTTAAGTATGAGCTATTTGAAATTCAGCAAAATGGATAATATATTCTGCAAGTTAACCATACTAAAAGTTTTCAAAAATCGTTTAGGGGTCAGATTTTAAGTTGAAAATGAAAATTTATATCAGCTGTGAGCATGTTCAATCAATAGCAAATCCTGTATGCTCAGACACTTTCTTCCTGTTTGCACTGTGCACCCCCTGCAGTGAGGAACCAGAAAAGGGGAAGAAGTCTCCATCACACACAACTGAAGGGAAAACAGAGGTAGTTTGGGGCCATGTGACTTTTATTTTACCACCCTCCAGATGGAATGGAGTAGTGGATATGATATTTTAAAACTAAATTTAATTAAATTAGTTAAATAATGTCCAATTGGGGTTGGAGTCTATAATACATTTCTTCAGTAGTCCATAAAGAAAACACTAGGTTTTGTTATTTTGTTTTTGAATTGGTTTTATTTGGTATATTGGTGTGAAGACTAAAGAACAAACCAGGGAGATGGCACATTTATAAATTAAGTGAGAAAACTCCTGATGAGAAAGGAAGTACCAGACGGAAATCCCAGTGTAGATACAAAATAAAACCCACACCTTTATTGTGAGTGTTTAAAAACAGCCCTGGCTATAGGAACAGATAAATTAAGCTCTTAATTTAGCAAGTTGGATGTGACCTCCACTTGGGAAAATTAAATGTAGCTTCTTGCTAGAGGCAGCAGCTAGAGAAAAAAAAAAAAGAAGAAGAAAGAAAGATAAAGAAAAACAGAAAAGGGAGACCAGAGACCAGGGACTCAATGAACAAATGCTTTTGCTGGCTGAAGCCCTAGAAGCTAAAGTAGACAGTCAGCAGCTAAGAGTTTTGAATAAACTGCAAGGCAGTGCTAAGATAATAGACAACTAAAACTTCTCTCAGCATAGAATCGAATTTTGATAGCTGAAATAGTGATTGATAATGTGAAATTTAGTGAAATGGTCAATATGGAAATCCACCTATTCCTATTCCTTTACAATGTATTGTACTTTGAGTGTTATATTTCAGTAGGACTTTGAAATTAACCAAGAATGTGCTATTGTTTTAAATGAAATATAGTCATCAAGAAAAAGGCTGAAGAATTGGGGCTTCTACTTTCAATACTCATACCGCACAAGAGATTCTCTATGGAACTCATACACCTCTGGAGGGCACTGGTGGGCACCTACTAACATCTGCTTGTTCAGTGTTCCAGTAGTCATTGAACACATCCGGGAGCTGAGCTGCGTGTCTGGCAACCAGTAGGTAGAAGTGATGGAACCTGTTTCCCACTTTTCAGGACTCGTACGAACAGGAGTGATGGCCATGAAAGTTCATAGCACAGTCCCATGAGGGCGGGAAACTCCTACCATGGGAAGCTCTACAGGATGCAGTGGGACCTCACTAAGTAGGAAGGTGGAATCCCAGAATATTGCCTAGTGGTGGTGATGTGGAGTTCCATGTTGGGTTTCCTAGACCTCTGAGAGCAAAGAGCAGCCTTTCTACATTTTAAGTAGAAAGCTCTTTACCTCTGCTTTCTGACCAGGTATTTAGGGAGCATGGATTCCAAGTGCAAAGCAGTCCAAAGGTACAAAGATACAAACAAATTTGGGTCTACTTACACCTTTGTATCCTCCTGGATTGGTGGTGACTTTATGTGTGAACAAGAAAGAGCATACTTGTTTTGGCTAATCTTAATGAGTGCACTCCGAGGACAAAATTCCTGTAATATCAAGTATATCAATAATTCAGTTAATTTAAATCAGAATTATCCACAATTCAGATATAATTTTATTCTAGTGTGGCCCATTAGAATATTTCCTAGCCACTATCCTATTCAGGATGATACTGGACACTCCAATTTAAATACAGAGCCCAGCTTGGCAATTATATGCTGAATAAAGTCATCAATGAGTTCACTGCCATTTCCCCATAACCTGGAGAGCTTGCCAGGTTCAGCCATATGACATGTGCATATGTGTACAAAATGCATAAACTATTTTCCTCCAGCCTTAGCCAGCTCTCCCCTGGACTTACATACTGTACCACCCCTTGCTTTGCTCCCACAGTCTACAAGGATCTCTACCGGCCTGTCTTCAGTGTCCACCCAGACCATGTTGCTCTAGTTCCTGGTCACTGCTGCCCTGTGGGAAAATTCCAAGGTCCTTCCTGGGCGCCGAGGCAACTTGAGAGCCTTCTCTGAGTCAGAGTTTGTACTGAGATACTAAGATGAATAAGTGACAGTCTTTCCTTTTAAGGACATTGGTGAGGAAACTGTGGGGTGGAAGGAGTTCAGGAGAATCCCCAGGGATCTCAGCAGGAAATCACACTTGGCTAGTCTTTCTTTTCTATCAGTACATAGAAACATTCTAAGATGGAGGTCAAGAGAGTTAAAGCTCAGAGGCTTACAAACTCCCACTGTGTTCAGGAAACAAGGAGTTTTATGGGGCTGAAATTTAAGTTCACAGGGTAGACTGGGGTCGGCTGGAGTCACTCTGGGCTTTTCCTTGAGGCTGATGAGCAGTGTATGTGATCAGAGACACAAGGTCATGTCATCGTATTTGTAACTGATAAAAATTTCTAAGAAAAGGAAAAATATCGGATGGTTTCTCTCATAGCAGGAATATAACAGAACAGGCGAGAAAATAATGATAATGATGAACAGCTATATACTAGGGGGTGGAGTGGGAAATGGGATCAAAAACAGCGGGGGGAGGGAAATGCACTGGACTATGGTGAGGGCACACGGGTGATTTGGTGATGGGAAGCCCAAGGGGATTGCAACTGAGATGGAAAAATGCACAAAAATAGTAAAAATAAACTATTATAAAATAAAAAATATATAAATTAAAAAAAATTCTTTCTAAGCTGTTGGGAAATATACATGTAGAGGACGGGGAGGAAACACAGGCAGAAGCAGACTGCTACAAGAAGGCAGTGCTGTAAGAATCTGGGAAGAACACTGACAAAGGAGGGAGCCTCCCCAGTCACCAAATGTGGAAGGAAGGCCCAAAGAACATCAGATGGAGGAGCTGAGAGGCCGTCGAAACCTTAGTGAAGGCAGACCTCAAGCTGCAGTGTGGCAGGACCCAAATCCTAAAGTGGGTGAACAGAGGGAATAGACAGGTAGGCAAATCTTCCTGCCAAGACAACTGACAGTGTCAGCAGAGAGCAAAGCATTACCAAAAAGAAAGGCTGGGGGTAAAATCATTCACTTTCTGCCTAGCAAGAAACTCCTTTTCTAAAATAGAACATCTATGTCTACTCACTCTCCGGTTGTTACACTTCAAAACTGTATAGAATTTATCTTCAGCCACATCCTGATTTGGGAGTGCTATAACTATAGCAGGGACGTAGAAGTCAAATCCATTGGGTATCACAATTTTGGCAAACACATAATCTCCAACCTGTAGATGAGAAAATGATTCACAGCAAATATTTTGAAGATAGATCATGACAGTATTAATATAAGCATGTTTTGAAATACCCCAAAGTAGCACAGACTGATGCTAAAATCCATATGCATATTTTTCGTGGTTAAGAGTCAATGGTTATAAAATTCTCCGGGCTTGTGAGAAACACCTGGAGTTTTGCGATCATCTCTAAACTCCCTGCTAAGCAAGACTTCTTCACTGACAAGGGCCTGCGGACAGCAAGCCATTGGTGAGGGGTCTGAAAAGCATTTCCTGCAAAGTCTACTTGAAGGAGCTTGGAATATTTCACATGAGGATCAGTGTCCTCATACAGCTGAAGGGATGTCACAAAGGAGCAGGTTTGTTTAACACTACTCCAAAGCAAACCCCTGGAACCCAGAGGGTGGGCATTCAAAAAGGTAGCAACCAGCAAAAAGAAAAGCTTGAGGGGGGCATTTACAGGCTGCCGGGCATTTGTCAGACGTCGTGGGTCAGTGTCAGGGGAGTTTGTTCTGTGTGAGCTTTGGGTCTGGCCAGCAGGACGGGAACAACCAGAGTGACATCCAATGAGTGCTCGTGGAGGGTTTCCTCATGGCCCACTCTATGTGAGAAAACAGCAACAGTGGGGCTTGGAGGGGCTTTCTCTCCACTCTTTGGCTTTAGTGTGGGGACAAGGATTGGGCAGACCCATGAACAGCAACAGCATGGCTTTTGCGAATTTATCAACAAACATGTGCTCAGCTTACCCATGGAGTGCACATTCAGGAAGAGGGGCATGACGCCATCAAGGTCTAATATTAACTAACTGCTATGTCAAGGATGGCATGACCTCTGCCCTTGGTATTAAATTTGTTTTAATATAATTTTTTGCAGTTAAAGTTTCAAGAGCAGTAGCAGCTCTAGCAACTCCTTTTCCTGACCATCTGCATGTAAAGAGACCAGGTCTCAATGCAAGCAAATCTCAAGGCATTACAGGTCAGGGTCATGAGCAAAGAGATTGCCAGACAAAGTGTCGAAGGAACACGGGGCTTTGCCTCTGCTAATGCAAACCCTCTGGAGGAGCCAAATCACATGCTTAGCAAAAACTCAAGCAGTGGCCACCACGATCCAGAACTCTAGGAATGGTGAACAGCGGCCCAGGAATAGATCACTGTGTCAGGTACCTGGAGCAGCGGGCAGGGCATGGCACCCCCCACAGGCGTGATGAAGGAGATGGGCACAACCTTCGTGTCTCCATACCTAAAGACCACCAATGCATGGGTGGGGCTCACACACTTCTTCACAACACCTGAGAGGAATAAAATTGAAAATAAAATGGAAAGGCCAATACTCTCTGTTCCCAGAGGTCTGCCCCTTCCTCCTGTCTGCGTTAAGTTACAACAGAATGCTTGTTTAAGTCAATGTGCCCTGTCCAGTTCTCCACCAGATAACGCTGGGCACTTAGGGTGCATGTTGGGCGGACCCAGTCTCAGTGTGAGCATGTGTGAAGTGCAGCCTCTGGCCGGGAGCACCTGCTGAGCTGGGAAGCTAGAATGTTCTGAAGCTCACTCATCTCCTGTCACCAGCAGCCGTCCTGCTAGGAGCACTGTTGCTGCAAACAAAGTTCCTCTCTTGGATACTTTCTACATCTGATTTCCTTATTTATTTATTTTAGCCACATTCCCTTCTATAGCAGCGTTAGAAAAATCAGTTTGTTGTGAAATTGTGAAAGTGTAAGGAAATATGAACTCCCATTATCAGCTTTTCATCTACTATTAGGTAAATGAAAAGGTAACTAGTCCGAACACACCCCAAGACTTCCCTAAAATGTACAACCAAAATAGGAAAAAAGAAAAAAGAAGTAAAAAGAAGTCCTCGTTTTTTAGTTATAGCCAAAGAGTTTATTTTAATAGGAACAGAAGATTCCACATATAGCTTGTCACTTATCCTAGTTGGAATGTACATCCCATTAAAAATGGATTATGGGCCCTCCTTGGTGGCACAGCGGGTTAAAGCACAGCGGGTTAGAGCCACTTCCGCATGAGTTCGATTCCCACCTGCCCCGGAGGTGACCACATGGTGTGGCAGACCTCTCCTGACCCGCCCGCTGCTCCCCTCAGCAGTGTACTTCATCAATCAGCCTGTTCCCCACTCTGTCTCTGGTGAAGCCTCTCACTGCCCCTGAGCCTCTGGCGTGTACCCCAGTTCTGTATGCACAAATAAAAATAAATCTTTAAAATGGATTATGAATATCAGGGGAAATTTTTAACATAGACACTTCCCCAGGCAGTAACAGCTGCACTTGGGTGCTGCCCGAGACAGAAATGCTGTGTCCTCACTGGGCTCTTGGAAAAGCCTAGGGTCCTCCCCGCCCACGCACTGGCCTTCACAGAGCCCCATGTCCTACAGTACGACAAAGACATAGTTGCTACCTTTCCTCCAGTCTATGTCTCATAAATGGCCAAAGAAGTGACAACCCTTGTTTTAAAGTGCAAGCTTGTGTGTGCGTACACACACACACCTCAGTTTTCCATTGTGTGTGTTTTCTTATTGGACTAAACTACTTGGCTTAGCTTTAGAAATATTCTTTACATGTTTTTCACAATTTTTCTACCATAAACTAATGTTATTTACCCTTTTAATAAGGGAAGCTAGCACTACTTTTTCAAAGAATTCTTCTTATGCAAATAATGAAGAACCACTCCTCATTGAGAATCCCACACTGCTCACATCCACGTGCCCCAGTCATCCTTCTGGGTGAGACCTGAGCACTCCCCTTGGGTCAGAGGGCTTCTGTGTACTGAGTCTGGGAAGAGGGTGCTCCTGTCGAGACCACAGGCAAAAATGGTGCCCACGCGCAGTGGTCAAAGGAGTGCAGAGATAATCTCAGACAGTGGAGGTCAGTTCACTTGGTGAAAGAGATGAGAACAGCTCTCAATTTTTGCTCCATAGAGGAATTTCTCAGGCTGGAGACTGGATTTCTTACCCTTCCCTGTAAGAACTTCTGTTATTCAGCTTAAATTTCATCTCCTGAGAAAAGTTTTGCTTTGTTCCCCTGGAGCACCTCCTCTGTCTCCCCACCTCTGGGGTCACCCCATTCATCTATTCATCTTCTTCCTTTAGTCTCAGAGCTTTCCTGTCTAGTCTTCTGTGCTGGGTTTTGCCTTTTTGAATTGCTGCTAAAGTTTTAAAATTGAAAGTAGCTCCTTCTACCTCCAGAGAAGACAAGAGTTGTTTAGATATGTACAACAGATATCAAGAAGATAGAACAACTCTTTGTATGTTGTTAACACATTCCAATGTCGAAAATGCTGTACATTATCATATTTAATCTGCATAACAATCTTATGTGGACTTTATTGTTTTAAATTCTATTAGGAAAGATGAGAATTTCAGCAGTCATAGGGCCAAGAGAAGAGGCTGACTTTCAATGAGTAAAATCGCGGAGTTGTCTGACGCTAAGTCATCACACCTGAGAACATCATCCTCCCTTTCCTTCTACTTCCTTGTTTCTGTGGCAAGTGCAGAAATCTTGTAGCTCAGACTTTTTGTACTGTGATTTACTGAAGTAAAATGCTTCCTTTTATTGAACAATAGGAGGGATGACTCTATCTTCACAAAGGGTGATTAAGAATTAAATTTTGACATGTGTTTTCCTCCTTGCCTTTCAGCACCCAGGTAAGCCAGACATCCACTGGTCACGGCCATTCTGAACAGAGTGTCATTTTTTAGCTAGGTCACCCACACCATACCCAGAGCAGAGTCAGTCCTCTGGAAATCCCTGCCCAGTGGCCACCAAGGGCAGCAACAACCAGGCCAAGCTTGCTGCAGTGTAGGCCTGGCCAGGAGTAGTAGACTCTCCAGTTCAATGGCTTCAAAGAGGCATTATGCTGATATATTTTTAAAATAAGCTATTTTTCATTAAAATTATTAAGGAGGTTTGAACAAAGGGGAGGAGTGATGCACTGTGATCATATGACTGAAACACACGCCTCTGGACAGGATGCTCTGACCACGCCAGGACCTTACGCTATCACTTAGGTAGCGTTGGGGCCAGGAATGCATAACATAAATCTAATCTAACTCAAATTGAGGAACATGTCATAAATTGACCTTAACCTTAAATAATATCAATACCCTTAAAGATGATTGAAGATACATGTTAATTTAATACAATAAATGATACTGGATTGGAACCAGTACTTTAGAAAAACATTCTACAAAGAACATCATTGGGACAACTAACAAAATTGAAATACATGGATAGAAGTAGTCTAGTGCTAAAAAAGTCTTGAACATTATAAATTTAGGGTGGTTATATTAAGAGAATATCCTGTTCTTGAAAAATACAAGCCAATGTATTAAGGAATAAAGAGACATGATAATGTTATGTAATTTCAAATAATTCAGAAAAAAATAATGTGTGGAAACAGAGAGAGGAAGGAAAGAGAGAGGAGTAAAATAAAACAATGTGGTCAAATAAATGTGGCAAAATGTTCAAAATTAGTAAATCTGGAGATTTACTAAAGAGTACATAGGAATTTTCTGTAATATTCTTGCAACCTTTCTGTAATTTTGAAATTATGTTTTATAAAAAGTAACTGATGGTAGAGCTGAAATTTTCAGTTGAAAAAGAGAGTCATTGATTTGAGGGCAAGATGGGGAAGGGAACAGAAACTAAGCACACCCAGTAATGCAAGCACTATTATTTCATTTGCGTCAGTACAAACTGGCCACTAATCAAAATTACTAGTTATATGACTAAATTCAAATGTTTGTTTCCTCTCAACTGACTTATTTGTATTTAATCACATCCACAAATAAAAAATGTCTCAAGTAGACAGATTCCATGGAGCTATTAGGTGCAGATGCTCTCTGCCTTTAATTGAATATTTTTTCAAAAGCCAGGGCAATGATCATTATTAACAAGATGTCAGGTATTGTATTTGGCCATGTTGCTACCTGTCTCCTCTACTCCCCCAGATTAGCTGCAGTAGGTCTTTGGCATTTTCTTATCACACAGGGATGGTATTAAGGGAAAAGATTCATTCTATTTTTTTTTTTCTGATCAGCAAACTGATTCCAAGATACCAAACCCTGTCTAGCCACTTAGAATCCAATTGTTCTTATCATTTCCATTTAACAGGCCAAATTAGTATCCCTCTGTAGGGCTCTCATTCATCTTCCAGAAAATCTGAGCCTCAGAGAAGTAGAAGATTCTCAGGCCTTGCTCTGGTAAAGAAGGGTTTTATGCCTTAACCATGAGTTCATCTCAAATGCCTTGATCCTCCTGCATTCTCATTCAGCCAGTTAATGCCAAAGCACATCTTACCAAATTTGAAATGAAATGTCCTAGTTGTCATTTCAACACATGTGTTGCTGGAAACCAAAACACCTGCTGAAGTATTTTTTCCAATCCAGAAGGTATATTTAATTAAATTTAGTTCAAATTATTCTTGTAACTGGTAACTGATAAGTAGAGTCTAGGCAAGACCGGCTGTTTCTTTAGTATAATGTTTTCACCTAGCGGCCTTCCTTAGAATTCTCTAAGTTCTCTTTATCCTACAGATCCAGCCCATGATTTCAGTGATGGCTGTTGACACCTCAAAAAGTACCTCTAGGTACTCTTCTCCAGACTTTAGACCTATAGCTTCAATTACTTTCTCTGAGAATGTCAGTAACCAGTAGCAAATGGAAATAGGGCTAAGTGTCTTGAGAGGAAATCTGACTAGATATAGAGATTTTTGAGAGAGTTACAAAGAAATTGTGTATCCACAGTGCGCCTTGTCAGTCTCTCCTTTGTTTAGTAAACAAATGTTTACTACAAACCTACCATGTTCCATGTTTGTAATTTCCTTAAAGTACTGCTCTAGAGTAATGAATAAACAGATTAAAAATATTGTCCATACAGGCCTTAGATCCTAGAGAGGGAAACATGTAAGCAACCAAATAACTAAAATATGTAGTTATCTTCCTGCCAAACCCACCATCTTGGTCCATGAATGTCCCATACAGAGACACTCTACACCAGTCCATATCCACTTTTCACATTTTCACAAAGCAATGAAGGGTCTTCTTAAAACTGCATGTGACTATGTTACTCTGTGTAAATGTGCCCCCCACCAACACAGTCCAAACTTTAACATAACCCTGTCTGAACAGCCCCAGACTTAACTTTCTAGAGTTTTATTATTCTTTCTTTGCTTTCCAGGTTCCAACCATAATCTGCATGATTTTTGAAGATTTTGTGAAGTGTTCTTGTTCACCTCTGGATCTCCACACATAATATTTTTAATGTTTTCACTAGCCAGGAAGCTCTTATGGAGCTCCATTTACCTGATCCCATCAGGATCACGTGCCCCAGAAAGTCTTGGCAAATCTCTCAGGTCTAACCACACTGGTCTCTTCCTCTAATATGCTTTGTGCTCTCCAGTCTCCAGTCTTTGTACTGCTGTTCATCTGCTTAGAATTGTCCCTTCAGATAATCTATGGTTTCCCCTTTCTCTTTTAAGTCTCATGTTACCTCCTAGGAAGTTTATCATTGACAACTACCATATTTAGAATCCAACTTTCACTTTGACATTCTTAACCCCTTTTTGTGGCATAATTTTTGTCTGTAGCACTGCACACTAGGTATTTTAGTTATTTGGTTGCTGACCTGTTTCCCTCTCTAGGATATAAGGTCCATGTGGACAATATTTTTTTTTTTTTTTTTTTAAGATTTATTTATTCATACAGAACTGGGGTACAGGCCAGAGATGCGGAGGGTGAGAGGATTCACCAGAGACAGAGTGGGGAGCAGAACAGGCAGATCGACGAAGTACACTGCTGAGGGGAGCAGCGGGCGGGTCAGGAGAGGTCTGCCACGCCATGTGGTCACCTCCAGGGCAGGCGGGAATCGAACTCATGCGGAAGCGGCTTTAGATTCTCAGTGCTGTGCTTTAACCCGCTGCGCCACCAGGGAGGGCCTGTGGACAATATTTTTTATCTGTTTGTTCATTACTCTAGAGCATTACTTTAAGGAAATTACAAACATAGAACATGGTAGATTTGTAGCAAAAATTTATTTACTAAACAAAGGAGAGATTGACATATTTTTCAGATTCTCTCCCTAACAAATATAAGAGAAACCCTGCATAATTTCATTTTAGAAGTGGAACATCTTAGTACAGCTCATGAATTATCAATGTTCTAGAGAAAGCATAATGTAAGATGTTTCGATCCCCAATATTACATTATTTAACAAAGGAATCTTACAAAATAAAATACCTACCTGGGAAATAAAAGCCATTTTCATCACATCTTGCAATAACCTTCTGGCCTTTCAGGGGGTCCACTTTTTTTGGTTTAATTTTCTTTGGTGTGTTTCCTGGAGATTTATGTTGCTAAAGAAAAAAATATTAATAATTGATAGAAAAATTCAGTGCGGACAGTGAAAATCACAGGTAGAGGATATCTTGGTATTAACTGAGGTCACACCACTAACAAATGACAGAATATATACTATATAGTCACTCTACAGTACTACCATATGAAAGAGAGAATTTGCTGTCTAACCTAGTGAACTTTCACCGAAACAAAAATCCTCACCGTTTTCAGAGAATTTAAATGGGCTCAGAATCTTAAAACATAACATTCAACATGTCCATTATTTAACTGAAAACCCCACATACAAAAAGGCAAGCAAATATGACCAATTATTAAGGTAAAAGTTAGTCAACAGATCATAGTACTGAGATGAACAAGATATAGAATAATCACATATACTTTAAATCAGAAATACAATAGTCCATGAGATAAATATAACCATAGTACATATTATATTTTAAATAAGGTAAATACTCCTGAAATGAATGTCAAGGAAGTTGTTTTCAGAAGAAAATTAGAAATTATAAAAAAACCCAATTATTTTTATTTGGGGATTTATATGTGAAGTGTATGGAAACAACAAATTTAAATAGAGACAACTTCATTTAGTAGTTACTTGGGGCTTGGGTGCAAATCTGACTGCAAATGGGCACAAGGGATATTTTTGGGAGTGATGGAAATGTTCTGAAGCTGATTGTAATGGTAAGTGACAGCCTTATTAATTTTACTAAGAATCATGGAATGGAAAGGTGAATTTGATGCTATGAAAATTATATTTATAGAATTTTTTTAAGTTCAAAATAAGGAGTTTCATCCCAGATTTTCTCTAGTTATAAATTCATGATATTTTGCATGTGGTGAAGTGAGTGAGAAACTGAGCACAGAAATTTCTGAAACTACTCTTAAAGAAAAGCCAAGTAGGAAATTTTCTTTAAATTGTTACATTGCAGAAACTGGGGGTTTCCCCTTCTAGATCTTTTTTCATTCCCTACCCCCCTTGCTGGATTATGCATTTGCTAATTCTTAGGTTTCTAAGAGAAATTAGCTTTCCATCCCAATGTCCTGAGTCTTCATTCAGTTGCTCCTCTTTCAAATCCTCAAATGTCCTTCTTTTCCATGACACAGCCTCAATACAATGTGTTTTCATAGGCGCTTTGAAGCCACCTTTTTGCAGTTGTATAGTTACAACATAAATAAGGTACCCAATGCATATTTTGGGAGTCCATCTGGAGAACTTCACATAAGGAAGTCTCTAATTTATGAGATAATTGACTATAAAATTTTAAATAACTTCAGGTAGTCTGCACACATTTGCTCTTGGATCATTTTTCATATTCAATACAGTCTGGACTCTGGAAATAAGTGGGCTCATTTCCATGGTGCCCTGATAGAACTATTCTGTTGCAGTCATCTATCATTTGGATCTGTTTGGAGATGCTTTTCAGCTTCATTAAAATAAGTGGGAACATAGGTTATTTCCTGGGTGATGGAAACTTGGAGCCAGGTTCTCAGCAGTGATGCAATAATTAACGAGAAGTTACGGTCTCTTGAAGGGATTGTGGGATATTATCAGGTTTTCAAATCCATGTTGCTTGTAATCTGTGCAACCGTGAACACTACCTTTTCATTTATAGTCACCACTCAATTTTCAATTCATTTGATGGAGAACCACCACTCACTGTGTGAATACCTTTGCTGCATGGGCAACCATGGATGGTAACAACAAAGAGTACTGTGAAGTTTTGCTTCAACATTCAGAGAGCCATCCAAAAAAATACCTTTCCCAATGGCTAAAAAGTGTGATCCCAACATCATGGCCCCTCTCAAGTCATTCATGCACCTGGAGTTCACCTGAAAGGCCCATTATAAATATGAAAGGGCTATGTACACATAACTTACTTTACTCTACCTTTGTTTCCAACTGCTAGTACTTATTGGAAGAATTAATTTCTGGTTGTTTCCAAAGAATGTAGCTTAAGGAGGAACCATTCACTTTACACACTCAGTGACTCATTCTCCTCACTGTATAGTCATCAGTTATAGCACAGAGAAAGTAGATTAGCCACAGCAAAACAAATTTATCAGGCCAGCTTTACAATGGCTCATTGCATAGAAATGTGGCACTGGCTTCTCAGGATGGAAAGACATGTAATCATGGGAGCTAGACACGCTATCCCTTCAATGACAATGTTGACAGCACGTTTCCCGAAAGATGGCATCCCACTCTTTTCTGATCTTGTCAAAGACTTTCAGGACACTGTATGGTACATAGGAAAGAACATTCCCATTCTCTTCCTACCACACCTCACCAATTCACACCCACATCAACATCAACAAGCCACTGGGTCTTAAAATGAATTCCATGGGGGATAAGCATCATAGGGGAAAGAGGGAGAAGAAGCGCTAGCACTATGTAAAGAAGCTACGTAAAGATTCCTTTGGCTTAGGGACATGAGAACAGCTACATGCTGTAGAGAAGAAAGAGAGGCCATGATGTTGGGATCAGACTGTTGTTCACCAGGAGATTTCACTTTAACTTGTTTCCCAAATTTAGAGATCCCAATTCAGTTCTTTCCCAGGTTCAATTGACAGGTTTTGCAGAGCAGGAGCCAAAATTATGCTACCTGCTTTTCATTTCATCACTTAATTTCAAAGTCATGCTCTTGGGTTTGCATTGGTGGGATAATGAAGTTAGTAAATGTTTGCTGCTTTAAAATTTCCCATTAAACATGCTGCCGCATCAGGTACAGAATGTATTTCTGATTTAAGTAGAACAAATCCTTGCCTTAAAATCTAGCAATTCTAAAACTAATACTAAATATTTTTCCTATGCCAAATTATCAAACTCTGCCACACACAATTCCTAAACTGGACTAGCAGCAGTCCCAACAGGCTTCCCAGTTAATTTTTAGTTCCTAAAGCCAGGTTAAATTCTATGACAGCTGTAATCAAGATAATGCATATAGCCTTCAGGCCTTGCTCTGACTCTAGGAGACCTAATCAGGAGACCATAACATTTGCAAACTGTCTCTGTGACTAATTTAACTCCTTTAAAAATCTCGGTGAGGAGCACAGGGCCAGCCTGAGGCATTTTCTGACCTTCTTTATCTCTCTCCTCTTATAAGAGGGATGTCCTCCTCTCTAGACAAGCCAGGATCTGCAACCCTCTTACAAATGGCCTCTGGAGACAGAATGGAAAAAAAAAAAAAGACCTTACAGGAAAATGTAAGCTGAGTCCCTCTTGGCCTGGGAGTGTCTCACTAGCACTAAAGGAGTTGGAAGAGTTTGGTCTACTTTCCTTCCCAAGAACATTTGCATTTTAACTGGAGCCAAACCTTTATGACAAAGGAATGAAGCTGTAAGTGAAATTGTCTTCTTTCAGCCACCTCCCTTAGAGGAGGAAGTCAAGTCTTTTGCAAGACCTCTCACAAGCAAATGCGGGTCATGGCTGGGGACCCTGCTCTGAGGAAAGCCTGCCAGTACCAAGGCTGAGGAGGGGAGCCTCTGCCAGGAGGAGGTGCTGAGAGAATGGCTGTGCCCTTTAACAGGCTTGGACATGGAGCCTTGCTTTGAAACCCAAAGGGGCATAGAGAGTGCTTCCCCCCCACCTCCAAAACTGCAATTTTCACTCCCATCTCCGAGGGCTGCTCCCTAAGCAGGTCACTGACCAAGGCCGCGCGGTCTGTGCTTCCTGTGCTGTGAATGGCTCCTTAGGATGTGCAGGAAACAATTACAGGCAGCCCTGCCTTACAAAACCATCCTCCCCTCTCCAAACACCCTGACAGTGCTGGGCTGTGGAGACTTACTCCTCAGAAGGTAAAATCTCCAATCACACATTCCTAAATAGCAACTCAAAGGTCTTCTGTTGCCATGAAGGGTTTTGTGTGCGTTCTCCCTCTCTCTCCCCCTTCTCCCATCTCTCCCCCCACCCACCTCTACTTTTTCGGTAGCAGCAAAGGAATCTAATCAATATGCACTCAATGCAGGATAAAACCACTTCCCTAGCTTGAAGAGCAAATTTGTAATACCTCCTCAGGGAATATCCCTCATTGTTCTTTGAAGGAAAAATCAAAGAGAAAAACATTTCAATATTTGAATCTGAAAATTACTGCAGCTTTGAGATACCTCATTCAGATGTCACAGATAAGGAATCCATCCACTGCTACTCCAGAGATGAGCAAAGCCACAGATATTAGAGTCACTTTGGTGTGATTGTCTGGAGCATGAGTCCAGTAAATAACAATCAAAGGTCTATGGCATACAATAAATGCTGGGACTCTAAGAAAACTGCCTGAGGTAGTTTTATACTAGCTGGCCTGGCCTGATACTATACTCATCTGCCCCCAAACCTATTGCTTGCCCTGTCCCGCTCCATGTCCCCAGAAGCTGGCTTCCACGGACGACACCAGCTGTTTCCCTTTGTGAACTTAGTGTAAGTGTTCTGGGAACAAACTCTCTCCATTCTGCCAGACAAGAGAGCAAAGCCATCTGCACAGACTTGAAGTCTGCGCAACAGCTGTGCACAGTCTACTGTCCATAGGTGAAGCAGCCTTTCAACCCTCACTAATGGCTAAAGACCTGCAACAAGATTTAGACAAGGGGGACCCAGACTTCTCATCTCCATAGTGTCACTACATTCTTTAGAAAAGAAGAGATTAAGCCTTAGTATTACCTTCCTCTGTGCCTAGTTAGCATCACTAAATATCTAAGTCAAAACCATTTAGAACCAGAAGCCCCCTGTCAACATTTTAAATGTCAACGACTACCTGTTCCAAGCTGTATTAACTAAATTCAAATTTGTGATTGCTGGAACCATTCTTGAAGAGTATAAGATGGATTGCTTCACTTAGATTACCTAATGAGCTCACTGACTAATTTTCATTGAGATGTTTATTGTAGGTAACTACTTGCTGGTTGGCCGACAGAGAGGGAGAGCCAAAGGGAGCAGAAGACTAGGGCAGCAGCAGTGGGGAGACAGCTTTCCCATGCTTGTCTCTCTAGAAGTATCTCCTCGCCTGCTTGTCTTTGTCAACAGGATGGGGGAGCCTGCGATGGCAGAAGGTTGAACTTTGTTTTGAAATCCACTCTTACTCTTTGACTGGTGAAATCAGGCCATTTACACGTAAGGTGACTTAAGTGTTCACTGCATTTTGTTGTTACTATTTATCAGTCTGTCTTTTGTTTTCTGGACATCTTCCTTTCGTATTTTGTTTAGGGTCCATTTTTATTGTCTTTATGTGTTACTTCCATTCATTTTTGCTTACAGGATCTGGTGATGTTAGATATGACTAGTATGTGTGACTGTTGAACATTTTGGTCTCAGATTCCATCTGCTGGGCCATATTGTTACTCTTTTCCTCCATGTTATATAGTTGGGTGTCTGCTCCCCCGGTTTTGTTGTTCTGTTGTTTTTTAGTAATTCCTTTGCCATCTCTTAAATGTGCAGCTAGGTATAGAAAAATTCCTTTAGTTTTTGCTTTACAGTGAAATGTTTTATCTTCTGAGAATGTCATCTTGTAAAATAAAGGATTCTATGCTGGAAATCTTTTTCCATGGGTATTTTAAATATCTCCTGCCATTCCCTTATTGCCTGTAAGGTTTATACCAGAAAAGTCCATTGAGAGAGTATAACTAGACTAATTGGTATTCTATTATAGATTACTCTTTTTTTCTCTCTCAATGGTATTATTCTGTCCTTGTCATTGGTTTTCCAACAGTTTAATTATGATGCGGCAACTCTTTGGGCCTCTTGGGGCTCCAAAGGTTGACTCCATTGACTCAAGAATCCCACTCCTTGGAGTTTATACTAACAAAATAGTTCAACTATAGCCACACCACAGAAATCATTAAAGCATGAAGAAGAGGGTCTCTCCCTGGTGGCTCAAGGGGTTAAGCCTCAGCACTATGATGCAATCCACTGTAACACAAGTTTGATTCCAGTCCAGGGAGCTAACCCACATGGCACAGCAGACCTCTCCCATATTGCCTGATGCTTTCATCAGCAGTGTGTATCAGTAGATTCGCCTGTTGTTTCCTACTCTGTCTTGGTGAGTCATTTCATTCCCTACTCCACCCTGCACCTCTGGCCTACACCCCAGCTCTTGTATGCATAAGTAAAGAAAGTTAAAAAAAATCTTTGAAAAAACACAAAAAAGAGAAAACTAGAAAATAAACACATATCTAACTTTCAGTGTAGAGTTAAATAAATTAGCATATATACATATACCGTGGATTATTACATAACCATAAAAATATCAATCTGAAAATTTTAGTTTAAAAAAACAGAAAAAGAATTAAGAGATATAACTAAATTAAACAGATTATGAAATGACTATGAACACACTAATTGCACCCGACTAAAAAAAATTGTTCAAGGGGAAAAAAGAATCTAAAAGTAAGTGATCTAAAATGGCATGCAGTCAGATTAGAGATTATTTTTTTAAAGATCTTATTTATTTTTGCATACAGAACAGATCTTATTTATTTTTGCATACAGAGGTGCAGGGGCAGTGAAAGGATTCTCCAGAGACAGAGTGGGGAGCAGAACAGGCAGATGGATGAAGTACATTGCTGAGGGGAGCAGCGGGGGGGTCAGGAAAGGTCTGCTGTGCCATGTAGGTCCCCTCCAGTGTGAGGGATCAAACTCACACTGAAGCAGCAATGGCCAGCTTCTCAGTGATGTGCTCCAAGCCGCAGCGCCACCAGGTAGGGCCCCCAGATTAGAGATTATTTTAAGAAGGTTTGCTTTATTAATATTACTAACACTTCTGGGGGAGGGGGGCTTTCAATACTAAGAACTTTAAGTGCTCGTTTTACTTTCATAACAATATTATGGGGCAGATACGAACAATATCCCTATTTTACAGATAAACTAAAAAGTTAGAGAGCAGGGAGGCAGCGTAACTGACCAAACTCTGTCAGGGATCAGGTGGCAGATCTGATGCTCGACCTAATCTGGCTCCTGGCTAAGTCCAGCCCTTCAGTCACTAATTAAACTTTCTTTAGTGATTTTTAACAAAAGATGCAATGTTTAAAGAAGGGCATAGAAAAATCAAATGGCACTGCCTTTCAGTTGAAGTCTTGAGGACTTAAACTGAACTGGCTCTCTTTTAGAGATCAGTGTGTTGGCTGAGAGAGAGCGAGGGGAAGCCAGTGTAGGAATAGCGACGATGGGCGAAGAGGGGGGAGAAAAAGCACACACTTCCATGGCACCCACCTCTTCTAGGGTCTTGTTCACATGATTTTCTTTCTTGACAGCCTCCTGGAGTTCCATGGCCTGTTGGACATACATTTTCCCAGCTAGGATTTCATTTTCCAGCATGGACAGCTCTTTCAATGAAATGGGCCAATTCAAACGTTCTAATGCTTTGTTTAAAGCTGCCTTGTTTTCCAAATATTTCATTGGTTTGTTGGCATCTAACCTAAAATTTGAAAGAAAGAAAAAGCAAAACCAACAAGGAAAGTGACCATAGTAGAAAGCATACGGGAACATAGTTTCCAGTAAATTAACCATCCCTGTGACCTCTGGTAGGCACTTTTCACCATTACCTAATTTGATTATCTGATTTGAAAGAATTTGATACACTTGAGATTTTTTATCACAATTTCTTTAGCATATGTGGAACCCACCTTTTACTGCTTAGGTCTAACTCCCTATTTGGCGGAAACAAAAATGAGTTTTAAAAGGCTTATTAACACAGCTATGCCTATCGATGGCTATGAAAATAAAACAAAGCAAAGCAAACCCAAATATTTGCCTCAGTGCAGTAATTATTCTCTTGGCTCATTTTAAGTATTTTGTTTTCTCCTCCTTGCAAGCATAAATAGGTCTAAAACTTTCTGGCTTCGTTATTTTGGTACACAAAGATCAGAAGGCTACAACCGCTTGAACAGGCTGGGGAACACAGAACAGCCATTGTGGTGTATGGGCCAAAGTCCTAAAGTCTATATCTAGCTCCTCCCTACCTCTGAGTTAGACTATCCTAGACGGGAGATGTGGGGGGAGGGGGAACCAGGGAGTGGAGATGGAGTGGGAGTTATTTCATAATCTTCATTCTCATTGATCTTAGTGTTACTTCTTTGAACTGTCAGGTGTTCAGAAGAGTACAGTGTGAATCCACTACAACTATATGATTCAACCCACCAACAGACTTATCTCCAGAAGATAGGAAAACTTCTTTTAAAAAATCTAAATTGGAGTGACTACAAAAAGAAAAATCATCAGACCTTCATTCCCACAGACATTACCAACTTCACAATATGTGGACCAAAATGCCTTGTGAAAACTTCAGAAACCAGGCAGGTGCAGCAGCACCACAGAGAAGCACAATGCCAGGGGAGTAGGAGTGGCAGCGCTCATCAAGTTTGTTGTATTCTGCCCGACCTCCCTTCCCATTCACTGTCATAATGTGGTGCAGCTGGAGAAAACTTCTAAATTCTAGCTTTTCTCTTGGGAAGGAAAAAGAAGAGTCGAAGATGAACTAAACATTCTGGTTTTGGGGGAGAGGCTAAGACTGGTTTCTGCATCACCTAGGAGCACTGACAGAAATGGCAGCATATTGCAGATGCCAAGTTAGGAGACACTGAGAACAGAGGTTATTTCCATGGCTTCCTGCAGCCCCAAGACAGATACTGTGGGGACCAGAAGATTGTGGACCCTGATTATGGGCAAATCTGTTTTTTTTTTTTTTAAAGATTTATTTATTTGTGCATACAGAACTGGGGTACAGGCCAGAGGCACAGGGGCGGTGAGAGGCTTCACCAGAGACAGAGTGGGGCGCAGAACAGGCAGATTGATGAAGTACACTGCTGAGGGGAGCAGCGGGTGGGTCAGGAGAGGTCTGCCACACCATGTGGTCACCTCCTGGGCAGGCGGGAATCGAACTCATGAGGAAGCGGCTTTAGATTCTCAGTGCTGTGCTTTAACCCGCTGCGCCACCAGGGAGGGCCCGGGCAAATCTGTTTTACTGAGAAATTTCACATACCTCTAGAGACAACATATCCCTGGAAAAGGTTGGAGAGGTCCCTAGACCCTAGCCAGGATGGTTCATGAATGCCTTCCCCCTATAAAACAGAATCTCAAAAAACTGGTAGAAGATTTGGTGGAGGTTGGTTTTTTTGTTTGTTTGTTTGTTTGTTTGTTTTCCCCAAATCCCCAAATCTCAACTAAAGAGCAAAAAAAAAAAAAAAAGTTAAAGATGACCTAATTAAATGAACAGAATTAATTCCCAGAAATTTACCATGAAGAAATGGAGAGCTATGAATTACCCTGAAAAAGTAACTGTTGAAAGTGCTCAGTGAGTTCAGAGACAACTGATAGAAGTAAAGGGAAATCAGGACTTGGTGAACAAAGTTAGAATAGTTATAAAAATATAGAAGCTATTAAAAAGAACCCAATAGAAATCTGAAAAATGAAGAATGTATAACTGGTGGGAAAATTACTAGAGTGGTTCCAAAGCAGATTTGATCAAGTCTAATTTAAAAAACCCAACAAATTATGGCTACTTTAAGTCATAAAGTAGTAGAAGAGATAAGGACATTATGTAATGTTGTAAGGCTCTACCTACCAGAAAGACAAAACTATGGTATATACAGAATGGATCATTATCAGGCATAAAAGGTAGTACCAAAATTTGGTTGAAATTTGAGAACATTCATTTTCTGAATTAACTAAGAGAAGCTAGACACCAAGGTCACTGCTGTCTGATTCCTTTCAGATGCCCTTGGTGAGCAAGCGCTTTGGGACAGAAAGCAGACTAGCTGGTCCCAGAGGGGAATGAGGAAAAGATTCTTTAGTGGTGCAAAGTCTTTTTTCTAAGGTAGTTAAAAAGTTTTGAAACTAGAGGGAGGTGGTGGTTTGCACATTTTGAAAAGACCACTGAAGTATGTGCTTCAAAAGTTAATTGTAGGTTTTGTGAATTTCACCAAAATTGAAAAAAAAGTAGATAGGAATTGACTTACTTCTCCTTTTCCTCTTGAGTCAGTGCTCGCCAAACAATTTTATTCAAACGCCTGTTTAAAAAAATAAAAATTTATTATGCAGTAGCAATTTTCATTTCATGGTAAAAATGTTGAACCTGGGCTCTGAGGGGCATGTGGGTGATTGCCCGAGCCACGTGCCATCATCACTGCCCATGCCATGCCATTTGCTTAAAGAGATTGGAGCTGAATGTCTCCCTCTTTCAGTGTCTCTGGAACCCGAAGTGTCTGGTTTTGTGGCAGTTTTGTTAAATATTAAAGGTGGGGACAACTTTAAGTTCACTCAGGTAAAACCCAGGTTGAGAAGAGTCAGTAAATAAACTGGTTCTCTCTCATTATCTCTACCTGAAGATGTTTCTAAACACCCACCATTTTTCTTCCCAAGGAAAAATAAGTGCATCCTTAGCTTGCCTTCTGTAGAAATCCTTCTGCCTGGATTCTCAGAGCAAAAGTGCTTAACAGGGTCAGAAGTAATAGACACGTTTTATGGATCAACCAGCCTGACCTTGTTTTCCAAGTGAGGGCTGAGAGGGGCAGGCAGACAAAGCACCAGTTCTTGGTGGTGCTGAGATGAAAGCTGGTTATTGACTGTTTACAGAGAGAAGCTGTTGACCCAAGAGGAGGGAGAAGTTTGGAGCCAGTGGTTTCCATACATAGGTAGCTCCTGTCCTTGTTACTAGCCAGCTCTGTGCAGCTACATCATCACCCAAACTGTGCTTGTTGAGTTGTGAACTGTCATCCCATCTTCATCCAGATGAGGTGGCAGAACAGGGCCACTGTCCAGGGGCGCTCTTATCACCACAGAATCCAGCCCGGGGCCCAGGGCCTGAGAGTGCCTTTGAGTGGTGTTAACAGGCCTGGTTCCCAGTGTGGCCCTGGGAAGGGTCTGGCCAGACTGCTGGACACAAAGCTCCCTTTCTCCTTTCCACTTACTAGCTGGGAGACTTTGGTCCCACAGGCAACTGCTCTGTAAAATGGAGACAAAAACAGGACGTGCTTCCTTCGTCATGTTGCAGAAGACTCATTGGGCTATGCGCGCACAGCACAGAGAACTGTGGGGAATACAGGTAAATGGTCTGCCAGTGGTAGATGAAGTAGGAAAGAGGGAAATAAACGGTGCTTGTTTCCCTTAAAGATTTTGGTTTTGGGGGTCAGTTTGGCTCATGTAACAATGATCAGGGCTTTTAAGACTTGTTGAAAGGATTCGTAGGCTGCATTTTCAATTTTGTGTGCTTTTCGGAAAAAAATTTTCACAATCCCCTTAAAATTAAACCTCGAAAATGGAGGCAGTATAGAAAGGAGGTTAGAAGTATGGTCAAGAGATTTAGAGCTACAAAGGTGTGGGTTCAAATCTCAGTATCTCACTATCCTGCGGGGTGAGCCTGCTACATAACTTTTTGAAACACTTGTTCTCTCCTGGAAAAACAAGGACACCACCATCTATCCTTGCACTGAGAGAATTAAAGGAGATGTGACAATACAAAATGGCCAGAATAACTCCATGTTCTTTCCCCTGCAGGTTCTGAAAAGGGTGAGGTTTGGAAACTCTGAGGAACCACTGGTGAATATGGGTCCAATTAGCTAGCACACGTCTGATTTTAATTTGATCCATTAGAAAATAGTTTTTTCTTAGAGCACATTTGCATAACTTCTGTTATGTGTCCCTCTCTACTGTAATATTTCAAAGCACACAGCACAGAACAGCAGGCGGCTGTGAACAGAAGGTAGCTGAGTGTGCATCCAACCCAGTTCCACTGCAGGAGAGTGGGTAGGGCCTGCAGTGTGGGCCGCACGTAGCCCGGATGAGAAGCTGGGACACAGGCACGAGGGTGTCTCAGAAGGGCTCCAGCCCCATGACGTAGGACTTTTACTACCCACAGTTTTCCTCTTTGTTGTAGGAGAGTTAAATTAGGTCAAGGGGTTTCTTTCAATAGCTTTCTTTAGTTCACAAATGTACCTGTCCCAAGAATTGACCCATTCACAATACAACTTGTAATTGACACGTCAGAAATCTAATCAGCCACCCAAACATTTCAGAGATCTCAAATATTGGTTCTACGCACCGTCTCCGAGCCAGGCTAGAACTGAGGCTCCCGCTGTGGATTGAGGACAGCAAAGCTGGCCTTAGAATCACAATCACATAAGCTGCACGAGATGTCACCCCGCTGCCAGGTGATTCTGGCAATCTTCACTCACTTGCGCTCAGACATACAAAGCCAATCTTGCTGCCTCAATTCTTAAAACACTGAAACCAGAGGACTCCTACACGAGGACACTAACTGTGACTGAAATAGCTGGCTATGTCATAGTTTTTGTCAAAGGTCTACTACCTTTCTATTGACTGGGTCATCTCTACCATGCAGATTTAAGAGTTATAGCTGCCTTCTTGGTGGTAGGAAACACCTTAGAAAGGCTACAGACGGGGTGAGGGTAAACCAAGCTTTATTAATTGCTGTTCATATTCTGCATGTCTCTAGAAAGGTGGAGTAAGGTGGAAAAGGGAATTGATAATCCAACAAAATTCTTCAATACATTTGAATGCAAGAAATCTGGTAGTTTTGTTTCTATATACCATTAGTGTTATGTTAATATTATTAAATAACTATATTAATTATTCATTTAAGCTAAAAAGAATCAATAATAAAGGCAATACAATATATTGATATTAATTATTAATAATACTAAGATTAAAGTTATTAATAATAGTCACATTTAATTTATTATTGACAATAACACTATTGTGTAATGTTTTTCTAAGGGTCTGAATAAGTTCTTCCAGATTCACTGACTGGAAATAAGAATTGGGACAAATCTCTCTGATCTCTATTTTGGCTTTGCTGTTAATGATGAAGGGCTTTCTTCCGCCTGGGGAGGATCATTCCTGGGGAAGAGTCAACAAAATGGGAAGACCTGTGTCACTATTACACCCATATACTTATGGTTATCTTAGGGTTAGCTGATTTGGAAAATGAAAGAGGGAAGCAATTAACATATATTCCTCTTTGTATTTAGTTTACGTAATCCCTCACAACCACTCTGTGAAATAGATTTTGTAAGTAAGGAATCTGAAACTCACACCTACCCCATGGTTTACCATGTAGGTGTCAGAGTCAGGAGTGAAACCCAGGACCATCAGCCATCAAGGCCCTCACTGGTGGGCCTGCAATGGACTCTCAAAGAGCTGCTGATTACAGAACTCAAATATGGGCTGATTCAAAGCAATTCAGTTATAATACGAGCCATATTATTATATTACATTGTGAATAGCTGAATCTGATTGAATTTATTATTAACAATAATGTGTAATATTTTTCTAAGGGTACGAAAAAGCTTTTCCAGACTCACTGATTGGAAGTAAGAACTGAGACAAATCTCTCTGATCTGTACTTCAGTTCTCTGTGAGAGAAGAAGGGCTTTCTTCTGCCTGGGGAGGGGTCTGTCTGAGGGGAGACATTGAGCTGCAGCAGTAGGGGCATGACAAGAGCAGTAGCTGACTGGGAGGCAAGGGAAGGCCTGCCCAGTACAGGGCACAGTGTGTCTGCCAGTGTGCAGGGGAACACAGTTTTCAGACCCGGGAAGCAGGCATAGCTAATCCAGCTTCCCAGGCTCAGAGAAACCCTGGGGATCCCTCGCAGGCAAGACAGCTTCAATCCTTAGTTGGGGGCAGCAGGACAGGTTCCGGCATGGGAGGTTTGGAGAGACCTGCACCTGGCATGGTGCCACACAGCCAGCTTACAGGCAGGACTGTGTGTTCCCTGTGTCAGGAGTGAGGCTTTCCATTTCTTTTGAACACACACTGCACAAACAGAAAAATGTTAACAGACCAGAATATGCTGACCGGGGCCATATCATCAACCTTTGTGTACTTTATTTCATTTTGCCCACTCTTGTGGTGTGAAAAAAAAAAAAAAAAAGCCCAACTTCCAGAACCAAGAATGGGCTTGCCCAGAGAAGCTGTGTATGCTCAAAGCTTAATTAAGTGAAGTGCACCAAGGATTAATTAAATGCTGGAAGCAGGGTTCAAAGTGAGACTGGGTTTTCTGCACTGCTATCTCCGCACTAACCAGTGACTGCTCAGCAGTCAACCTGATTGTCTTCTTGATCCTGTCACAGAAGTGTTTAAACAATACACACATATTATCTCCACTATTTCACCATTGTGGAGTTTAATTAATCACTTTACAGAATGATATCTCAATAATCAAGTTCACTCTGCTACAAGGAACACTTTTTAGAGATATCATGGAAACATAAGATTTCTGTAGATTTTGGAAAGGGAAGATCATTTCTCTAAAACTCTTGGACACAATCAGGCACTGTCCTTAGTGCAGTGTGCCTGGCATACAGGAAACCCCATTCTTGTAGCTGCTGTTGATATTCTTTCTGGACCCTTTTAAAAGAGCTACTTTAAATTAAAAATGCAAGCTAAAATAAGAGAAAACAAACAACAAATTGCACGTCTATTAAAGGGTAGGTAGGAATAATACTCACTTTTCATAGGACCTAATTGCCTGTTCCACCTTTTGCTTGTAGATATTAAGCTTGACTCCTTGGGGGTTAATTAATGTCATCTTATTCGTGTCATTGCAAACATGTGCCAGAGGGAACACCTACACGCCAATAGCAAATGAAAGCATCATTTTATGGGTCAACACCTGCCTTCAAAATCATATCTGCATGATATGCTGTTTGATTTTTTAAATCACTGTATAATAATTGTAGAAAAATTAGAAAATCACAGAAAAATAGTAATCACTGCTAACCCGTTCTTTCCAATTTCTAAAAGATGTTTTTAAAATAACACACATGCACACACACAAACCTGTTTCAGGAAGCACAGTCAGAACTATTATCTTCCCATACCTCTCAAATTAATGAGGGAAGAGAACTAGGAGCTCATGGCTGTTTCTATGTAAATTAACTGTTGGGTTGAATACTTTTTCATGTGTTTATTTTATACCTGACCTACTCTTAGGAACATCTGATTGTAGTTAACATCTCTTCTGTATCCGTTTATCAGAGATTCTTAGACATGCCAGATAATGAAGACCGAGTGATCCAAGAGACTACATTCTATGATAATAGTAGAGTTCCAGAGAGAAAGAGGCCATTTTTTAAAATTTCAAATCACCTGGTGCTTGCTTCTGGGTTTGGCAATGACTCTGATTTCATGCCATCTTAATAGTACCTGTACTATTATACCTTTGCCTGTTTATTTATCTTGCATCTCTCCCTAGAGGACCATAAACTCCACCAGGGCAGGGACTTTGTTATATTTAACTCTATATTCCTATCACCTAGATCAATGCCTGGCATATAGTGGACTCTCAGTAAATATCTGTTAGTAAGTAAGTGTATGTTCATTAAAAAGGTGTATTTCATTTCTTAGTATTTAAACAAACAAAGATAGATCTAGGAGAATACTAAGATATATTGTTTCAATATTTTATGATTCCAACCACAATGAGGATGTAGGTATTTTAGAAATGTAGGGAATTACTTTTAAGAAGTAAAATTTTAATGTTCAATCAAGAAGACACAGTTCATGCTTATACATTCCTCACCTCCAAAATCATATAAAATTTGTGGCTTTGTTTAAGGGGGAAAAAATGCACAGAATGGAAGGGGAAAAGAAAAAGAAATCTGCAGTGTTGGTAGATTTCTGGAGATAAAAAGGTACAGAGAAAAAGGAAGGCAGGAACAGGGCTGAAGCTGTGGGCTTCATGACACCCGGGCAGTGGGAGCCCAGCTCCTGGGGAAAGTTGGACAGGCCAGGACCCAAGGAAAACCCAGCGCCCGTGGGCAGGTGTGAGTTCCCGGGCTTTGTGGAAGAAGCCTTGCCTAGCCGGCGGGCGCACTGAGGAAGCACAACCGAGACCTGAGCGCGCCTCTTATTTGCCTCTTTCACTTATTTGCCACTTGAGCTTGACTCTTTGGGGGTTAATTAACATCATCTCAATCTCAGTTTACAGTGTTCCACTATCGCCATGGAACAAGAACTCTAAATGCCAATGAGGGGTCTCAAGGGATGGATTTCAGTAACTGCAAACAGAAGGAGAAGGAGAAAAAAAAGGTTTTGAAAAATCTTGTGAAAAAGAGCTAGAATAGTAAAATCCAAAGTACACACCAAAGCAAAATGCTGCAAATGATAACTAAACAACTTAATAATCAGTGTCAATTCACTTGAGAAGAAATTAATTTTATGACTTAACATGTAATGATTTTATGACTACAATTAATTATGATTAGTTTGTACTAGTCTTACAAGAGTACAAAAACATGCACAAGTGTCATAAGGAGAAATAGATGGGGAGAAGAAACAATAGCATTGTAAATAATAAAATCGTGAGAAAGACATTGAAATGGAAAACTAAATGTATTAATTGTTTCCTTAAAATGTGAAGATCAAATAATAGGCGATGATTCAGAAAACTGACGAGAAAGAAACGAAGTTAAGAGTCTGCACAGTCAAACCTCACTACTCGGCAGATGCACTGATTCAGCTTGTGGCTCCTAAGCACTTTCTGAAAAGGAAGGATCAAAAACACTCGGCTAAACACCCACTCTCCAGGTGAAGAAGTGTGGATAGACTAGACTGAAGGAAGCTGGCAGAAGTGACAAACATCTCGCAAGCATATCACATAAACTTCCAAAGAAAAAAAGATCAATCTCAACAAAAATGAAAGACCTTTCCATTCCTTGGGAAGAAGGGCTTTTGAAGTCTATAAATAGCTTTACAAATTAATGATTTATGGCTCAGTTACAAATCCACAATACAAAACACTTAGCAACATTATAACCTTTGACCTAGATCAGCTTGACACCTGACTTCATGCTGTTAAGGAAAACCCACTTTACTGTTTTACTTCCCTCTTTTGTGGGTTTGGATCTCATGCCTTGCACGGCCATCATGTACTTCAGTGTGGTCGCAGTTCAGTTCTGACTTGTGTGCACCTTCTCTCATTCCTTTCTGCATGCAGATTTAGGGAAAGACAAAGTCATACTCCACACCTTCAGTCTGCGGTCTTGGTTTTTACAACATGATGGTTACTTGGATGTCCTAGGAGATGCTGTCTTTATGATGTCAAATGGATTGCAACTATGAGGTCATAGGAACATTCTCATAGGGACTTGGGGGTCAGAATCTCAACTTTGGGAAAGGAAGCAAGAGGGAGGAGAGTCTGCTTGATGGAGAAACTGACAGTGTCTTAGTGAGAGTATAAAAACACATGATCACACTTTCTTTGAAATTCATTTACTTACTGCCTTTTAGGATACATGTGAGATAGAACCATGGAATGAGGGAACCCTTTTATTTGATAACAAAAAGGAGCCTCCTCAAGGTCTTATCTATTTTAGTTCTCTTGAGGTTAACCTAGAAATGTTATCAAATTGATATGAATAATCACACACTGTGTGAGAAGATTTTGACTAGGAGAGAAGGAGGGAGGCAGGAGGAAGAGACCCTTGCAACACTGTATTTAAGAATAGATTTACCAATAACAATGAATGTTTTATCCTTTATTCTGCCCAAGAACTAGGCACTCTAATATTTTTCATTCAATACCACTACAGATGTACATACATAGAATGCTAGTTTTTGCTAAGTGGCTTTCTTTTCTACTAAACTCTGTTTTTCTTTAAAAAAAAAAAACTAATTTCTTGTACAGTTAATATACAAAATGACTTTTTTTAACACATGAAAACTTAAACTATATGTAAATTGAAATAACTGAGGTTCAAGTATCTTTTACAGTTTATCTCTATTGTAAAACATATTTAAGTTTGGATTCCACCAAAATTGAATTCTCAATGATTGAGGAATGAAATGAGTATAACTTTGCTATTTTTATGAGGTATTTCCTAAGAATGACTAATGTAGACAAGATTTAAGAGATATGTTTAGCTTATATAAGACAACTATTCACAAACAAAAGAAATGGTAATTAAAATGAAATATCATTTTATATAGCAGCTGGTAGAGTTTCATTTGCTGTTACTGTTCTAAATGACAGCAAAAGTATAGGAAAGTAGGCACTCTTAAAATTCCACGTGAATTACCCTCAGGAGTAGTTTTTTAAATTGTGTTGGGGTGTCAGAAAAATCTTGATGTATTTTTTTCTAAGATACGCCACGACTTTTCCAACAACTCAATAGTAATATGTACTATTGAATACTAGTGCAACTATTAAAATTCATTTTTGGGTCTCCCTGCTGGCACAGGGGGTTAAGTCTCTATATACGAAGCTATGGCAGCCACTACAGGGAAGTGACTCATGGCGCAGCAGACCTCTCGGGTTTCACCCACTGCTCCCCTCAGCAGTGTATTTCAGTTGATCCACCTGTTCTGCTCCCCACTCTGTCTCTGGTGAATCCTCTCACCTTCCACACCTCTGGTCTACACCTTAGCACTTGTATGCATAAATAAATAAAATAAAACTATTAAATAGACAAAATTCATTCTCAAGTGATCATTACAAGGAAACATGTTCATAATATACGCTAAATGAAGAACACAAACTATGTAAGTATATACACACAGCTATTAACTATTAAAGCAGCAGAGGAAGGAAATTTAGAAGCCATCCCACAACATTTTGAAAATAATGTGAAACTGCTGTTTATATATATATTCTTCAACTCTGTCTGAGTTTGCCAACTTCACTGCTTTCCAACTAAGTCATTTCTTCCGAAGAATATTCCAGAGTGTGCTGCCAGATTGGCCAAGGAGAGGTCTGATTGAGCATGTGGAATATAAATGTAAATGCAGTACAAGTTCCACATGGTGACTCTGGATCTGGATGCAGTGACTTTAGAGCTAATGCAATTATGCAAATCACCTAGTCTTGAAGCTGACACCACTGCTTTCAATCTGAAACATCTGTAGGCTCCACAGAACAAAATGAGGTAGGGCCCCAAAATTCACAGCAAAGTGGTGTCAAAAGATAATTCACGAACTCTTGAAAACGTTGCCACAACAGAGAATACATCTCACATTTTTCAAGCTAACTTTTGAGAAAATTTCCCTAACTTGAATTTCAATTAAAATGCTAGTGAGCACCTTAACTGGTACAGTAGACAACTATCTCCTGGCATGGAATGTTTACAAGATTACTAAGTAAAACTGAAGGTATGAAACAAGTATGTTGTTTGACTTCATTTTGATAAAATGAAAAACAAACAATAAGGAATATAAACAGATTATCTAGTCTGGCAGATAATCATCAAATGATTTATCGCTTGTTTCTTTGTCAGTTTTCTGTATCTTCTAACATTTCTACAAAGTGACTATATGTAACCTTTGTAAAACTGTCCTTCAAAACTTTTTAATTAAAATAACCCTATCAGTATATAGTTTTGTCACGTTCAGTACTACTACTACTTGAATGCACGGAAATGTCATTCTATAGCAGCAACCTTAAACACCTAAGTTCCTCAACTTTCTTGTGGGCCACTGCCAGAGTGCCTTAAACTTGTGGCAAGCTTTTGGGCCTTGGTGGTCCCACTTTGGGCCAATCCTGTTTGGCTGGGCATTTACCTACAAGGGGATAGGTAACTTTGGGTGTTTCATGTGGAATCTATATCTTTTTTCTTCTCTATTGCATCCTAA